TTCCCAGTCAACAACATAGAAAAAACTCTTAATAATGAACAAAAAATACACCAGAATACCCGACAGAATATTATGTTCGTAAATAACATTTAAATTGTTTAGTTTTTGATACATAGCAAGAGAATTACGCAGAAAGAAAACATCTAGAACATTCATCTTTGTTTACGCAAACTCACAATTCCGCTACACTACAATTTACTAAGTTCTAAAATTCAGGTAGCTCTCCGTTGTAACGCTGATGACAAACCCTCAACACCAGATGGACTGGTCTTCCTTAAATCAATGTGACAAAAAAAAACGCAAAGCTTTCCTAAAAATCTGAAAACTTTTAAATCAATACATTGTACACGAATAAAAGTGTTATGAGAATATTTACGATTCATACTGAAGGAACTAACAATGTAACAATGTATTTACATAAATTTAACGGTTTTATGATTCATTTTGAGCATTATAATTAACTCAATGTATGTGGGTGACATACATACGTGTACCTAAGAGTTCTAAGTATTGTATTCTACGTTTGGAGCATCAGATACATATTTGTATTTTGGGAACCAGAAGTTAAATATTAAAAAAAATACAATTTTCCCCCAAAGGGCATCTTAAGTTGACGGTGTTTTTAACGGTGATATTTATTTACTCTCAGATCCCACGCTCTAAACGATAAGACGTCTGGTGCATTTGTATACAGCGATGCACGGGTGGAATCCCGCAGGCGAGTACAATTTTTTCTAATGTAATATAATATAATAATAATTAGTACGTTACATACGTACTCAACAAATGTTCACGATTGACTTCCAAGGTGAAGAAATAAGATCGTGTAATAAAAATCAAGCTCACAAAATTATAATTTGCGTAATTACTGATTGTAGGACCTCTTGTGAGTGCGCACTGATAGGTAACACCACTCCGCCTATTTCTGCCGTGAAGAAGTAATGCGTTTCGGTTTGAAGGGTGGGGCAGCCGTTGTAACATACAATACATGATGAAATAAACAAAACCTTTAATTTAAAAAAAAAACTGAGACAATGAAAATGAAGATCTCTGCCGGGTCGTCGACAATGGATCGTCGTATTTGGAGCGTTGTTAATAAAGTAAACAAAAAAAATAAGCAAAAGAGAAATGAAAAAAAAAAAACAAAAATCCGACCAAATTACGAAATGCGGGAAACAGAGTTAAATAAGAAATTGAAGTTACTGTTGCCTCATCACTGCGGACATCAAAAGGGTCGTTTTCTTTTTATCTCTTTAAATTACTACTACTCGGAGATGAGTCGCTTTAAACCTGAATTCTATTCGATCAGAAAAAATAATTTTGCGAGACAACAGTAAGAAATGTTCTGGGTTTNAAAAATCCGACCAAATTACGAAATGCGGGAAACAGAGTTAAATAAGAAATTGAAGTTACTGTTGCCTCATCACTGCGGACATCAAAAGGGTCGTTTTCTTTTTATCTCTTTAAATTACTACTACTCGGAGATGAGTCGCTTTAAACCTGAATTCTATTCGATCAGAAAAAATAATTTTGCGAGACAACAGTAAGAAATGTTCTGGGTTTTTTTTTTGTTACTAACCAAGCTGAGATATTCATTGCTTAAAAAAATTACTACGTCAAGTCGTCAACAGAAATTTCAAATTAATGATTCGGGATGATCGAATTAAACACGTCTATACTAATATTACAAAGAGGAAAGATTTGTTTGTTTGTATTGAATAGGCTCCGAAACTACTGAACCGATTTGAAAAATTCTTTCACTGTGTTTAAGCTACATTATTCCTGAGTGACATAGGCTATAATCTTTTTTGAAAAAATTTAGTATCCTTACTAAAACTCCAATAATGTAACCCCAGGTGTAAAAAATTTACCTAAAATATTCTTTACATCGCGTGCCCTGCGAAAACTATTGATGATAGAATAAAATAATATACTACGACTTTGTGGAACACATTATCATCTACAAAAAAAGATCGCGACAGCATTTATGTCTAACTATTTTAGTTGTGCCGCAATAAGTGTTCTTTTATTTTAAAAAACAAAACAACGTCAAATATCGTTGTAGTTTTTTTAAAGACCTGAGAGGAGCCGGAGCGGGCCGCTAGTTACCAATAACCATTCTTATTTTGTGGTAGGTTCATCCATGTCGAACGCACTGTCTAAAATGTCTAAGTAGTCTTAATTTTTCCTTGAGACATGAACGTTTGTCTTAACGGCATTGGAATAAAGTTCATTCTTATATAGTAGTACCGTTCAGACGAAACGCATAAAATTACTTTCACAATTACCTGGTATTACCATGTTTTAAGTCTAATCTAATGTTTGTAATTCCATGTCACATTTAAATCGCTCGAATGTGATAATTTTTTCTCAATCATTGAAGTACTTATACGCCAAGGCGATTTTGCTACTATTTCTAAATTCCAAACAAATAGAATCACTGAATTTTATTTTTATATTTATGAGGAATTTTCTCGTGTAAAAAATTACTTTAAGTTTCTAGTTTATTTTTAATATTTAATACATTTACAGTTGGACGCGTGTCTCGGATTTTTAGATTGCTGATTTAAATGAAGAATGCGTGCAAAGAATCCGAACCACAGCGCCTATATACACCCCGCTGATCCGTAATTTCGACATAAATTTTACGAAGTGCGCTGACGTAACACAAACCCGGATGTTTGAGTCCAAATTGCGTTGTCTTAGTAAGTCTGGCGCCGCGAAGATAGATATATTCTGGATTGACCCCCGTTGCGCAGGAAAAAATTTAATGTCAATGATCTCTGAATTTTTGTTTAATTTATAATTTTACTTCCATTTAACAAACCTAAAATTTTAATGTAATTAGATGACAAAAGAGAGTATCTTAATAATAACCAGCTTTTTGCACTCAGAGATTATTGTTGTAAATTATATTAAACATAGTGCACAATAGTGCAAGTGCTTTATCACCATTTTTTGCCCCTAAATATATTTTAATGTGAAGTGTAGCTTAAAAGATTGAGATGTACTTCCTTTTAACTTAATAATATTGTTATTTACATAAGTTATTTATAAATTTAATTCTTCAAAATCCTTTGCTTTGATTTTTAATGTTTCTATAAGATAAATACAACTCTAATTATGGATATGGTTATATGTCTACTAAATATTAAGTGTGATATCAGATAGTACGCCACTCTTGTAACACAGACCACTCTGATTGAGATACATTATTTGGTTCAGTGTGCCTACTCAACTGTTTGCCAGATAGTTTGCCCAAGTTTAATTTTCTTGCTTTTCTTCAATTCCTAAGTTAATTCATATTTTAGTTTACATCCTCAATATTTTATGTCCATCTGTACTTCAGAATTTTAAACCAACTTTAGTTGTTAAATTGGTGTAGTTAAAGAGTAAGTTTTGTTTCCAATTTCTTTATACAAATTGTAAACGCTCACCACCATATTACATATTATGCAACACAAATCAGGCCTTTTTTTCTGAAATATATTTTGAAATATTTTTATTCAAGACTGTTTTACTTTACATTTTGTTCATACTTTTTCAGTTAATTAATGCAGTCACTTTTTTATACTATACTTTACGATCAACTTGTATCTGGAATAAAATTTCAACTTATTCGGTGATTGTTAAAAATTCAATATTCATTTTATTTATATTTAGGGTGGAATGGATACATTTCATAAACAAAAGAAGTGAGTTGAGTGAGTGAATTTTTTTTTCAGTTTTATGGATTAACTTAATTTTTTTTGGTCTCTGTTAGATACTAAATAATATATAGTCATAGTGTGTAATTTGATGTGATCCAACATCTTTTACTATACATTTTCATTCACTCATACAATTGTTTTAGTGAAAAAACAAATCATTCCTTGACCAAGGTACAGTTTATTACAACATATACAGAGAGCGATTTTAGATTTCACAATATTAGTATAAAAAGTAACTCAATAGCAAAGGCTCACGATACAGTCTGCAACTAACTATGTGAAATAAAAAACAATATGAATATCAAATTTATTCCTCCACACAAGAACTGTGTGAATAATATCATACTTTTGAGTTTCAATTCCCAGCCTTATTTAGTATCTTTGTGAAAGAAGGAAAAATGTTTTCAGTCTGGTTATTGTAGTTCTTGACACATGTATAATTTCAGTACCTGCAATATATGTAGGTAAAATACTTATATTTTGGGACGCTGAATATAAGCCCATCAATTTATAATTCTAATATTTGGTTTTAAAGCAACTGCATAAAATTGAGTTTTCTTCAATAAAATTTTGGCTTTGGGTTGTGAGTATATGCGATAGTGTTTGATACTAAGTACTTTTAACATTTAAGCTTACAAGACAAAATAGTAGTATTAAATTCCAAAAGTTTGTACTGTGTTTCGGAAATTGCATGTTTCTCATTATTGCATATTACTTGTTTTATTTTAATTACAGTTTAAATTAAAGTTTGGTATCATAGAAGGCTACATTAAAATTGGTTAAAATAAAAATAAAAATTCTGATTGAGTATGTGTGAACACCTAAAAAAAATTCTATTTGTTTTCTAATGGAAACAGTTTTTTTGGACTATTTCTTGTACACTTAGTGACTGGTATTTTTTAATTTATTTGAACTTATGAAATTGATCTGAGTTACAGTGGTAAAGGGAACTTCCTATGCCAAATTCACATATTTAAAAATGAAAAGAAAAAATGATATTTGAATAAGTCATATTTATACTATTAATCGAATTTTAGAGATAAAAGCATATTTGTTATTACATGCCAATGTGAAACGTTAATGTCCAATATGATTGATAATATTTAAATGGTACACGAAAAAGATGCTCAAATCAACAAACACCTGTGAATCCGTCCAAAGTAAAGCTACATACATAATTTGACGTACACTGGACGAAAGATCACAGCGAGAGAAAGGAGTTTAGAAACAAAAAAAATACAATGACCTTACAGAAAACTTAACTTTTCAATGTTATTTATTGAAACTTACCTTATCTCCGGGTATATTTTTTGCCGACATTGTGTATCAGCTTCCTTTTCTGTGATCCGACGTCGTGTTGCACACGATTTATCCAGAGAAAGGANTAATTTGACGTACACTGGACGAAAGATCACAGCGAGAGAAAGGAGTTTAGAAACAAAAAAAATACAATGACCTTACAGAAAACTTAACTTTTCAATGTTATTTATTGAAACTTACCTTATCTCCGGGTATATTTTTTGCCGACATTGTGTATCAGCTTCCTTTTCTGTGATCCGACGTCGTGTTGCACACGATTTATCCAGAGAAAGGATCTCACTGCAACCGTGAGAGCCCAGCATACGACATAAACACTTCACTCTACCAAATCACTTGGCCATCATCACAGCTCGAAAGATATATCAGAAGCACAAACACAATAAGCGACCCATCGTTTGGAGTCGTAATTAACACGATTTCCCATTGATATTCATCAACACTAATAATTTTTCACAACACGACACAAACACGACTTCTGACAGAATGTAACTTGATTGAGATTGGCTGACTTGGGCTTGACGGAAAATGGCGAGGGATGTATTTCGTCCCTCCGGCCGCACTCCCCCGCGCATGCACTCTGCTTGGGTCACATACAAAGATTTTATCGGCTTGATACAGAGGGCGCTTCGCAACAATAACATGCACCTTCTTCATTTATTCGGAGCGTTGAACTTTCAGTACGAGCTCTAGATGTCTCTGTTCCAGCATTTTCATTAAGGGGTTCTAAAATAGAGGATTGTAACCATAAAAATAACACATAATACAGTTTTTATAATTTAGTGGCTTTTAAAATCACTTACATACGATTTGTGAAAGATTAGGGCAGAAAATTTTAAGAAAATGATAGAGATGCTTCTCGAGTTCCCAACCCATCATTTTTCTCACGAGATTGTTAAAAATTAATAGAGAAAACTTGAACTTAAAAGTTAAGTTTCTAGAGTACGTAAACACGAAAAAAAAAGAAATATTGGGCTGCCAGATACTAAATTTAGAAAAAAATATCAAGTGAACAATCGCGTAATCGCTTCGATGGTTTTTATCCTGTTACCTACCTATCTTGGTTAAAAAATTATCAAGAAATGATACCTTTTTCAATAGCTAATGACTGGTGCCCAAATTGAACATTTACTTCAATCCAGATTTACACCAGTTTTATGAACATATATGCTATGAAAGGTTTTAATGTATTAATAGAGTTTCAAGCAACGTTTCCAATAACTACTAAAATTATCGTCCGTAGGATACAAATTATACATATCAAATATAGAACACCTTGATCAAGTTGACTTTTTTGTAATTGAGTAATTTTGTCTATATATAAGATCGCCAGAAACATCATCAAACATGTTTGTATTTTTAACACTCTTATTCTACGTCAGTTTCAGATCATTACTCATTGGGTGGCAAAAACCAGTGCTTACTTTACTTACTGATCAAATGCGAAAGACAATTTGCCGAGAGTTTTCTCTTATGGCCTCCCCCGTACGTGTTTGTAAAAGTGTAGTTGGCTACTATTAATATTCTTTTAAACTTTTACTTTACATTTTTTTGTATCGTTATAGGCTAAATCAGTTTCATAAGTAACAAAAGTAATAGTTATTTTAAACCTTCAACTATTACTTATATGTAGCTAATATAATTTTTTAAGCCTTAAACCTAAAAAATAATAGTTGTTTAATGTACATAATTTTCTTTTTTTTTTGTACACTAAAAATGTGCCCAAAATAGTTTTGAAAACATTTTCAACACGACCATTTTACGTGGGAATTCGAAAATATTGTGTTAGTTTGGCAACATTGACCCAAATTCATGGGGTCGTAAGTAGGAGGTAGCATTTTTTCACAACTTCGTAAAATGGCGGACGGCGATGTCGATATAGATTTGTACGCCGATGATATAGAATCCGATTTTAATCGCCAGGTAAAATTTACACTCTCCTAATTCAGTACACCTAAACCTTACAGATAACTCTTATAGAGAAATCGTAACAGTTGTTAATCTATTTTTGTCACGATGAATGGCGGCATTTTACAGGATGAATTTGCTGGCGAAAATGTGGATTTATATGACGACGTGATCTCAGCACCAGCTTCGAAGCCCGAGGACGGTGACGGTCCTCCCATCATTGCTCCAAACCAGCATCCACCTGAGGAAACTAACGGCAACGCCTCATACCACGGCCCGGTTCACGGACATCATGGCCGCCGTTTTCAACTTTACGTCGGCAACCTAACATGGGTTCGTACTTTTTTGTCCTAGACTATTTGTAAATATAAGTACGATATTAGTTTTTGCGTTGTACTGAAAAACTGATATCTTTTGAGTTGTCATCTCGTCTTTCAGGGCTTCATACTATCAATAATTATTGATTTGCATCTATTAGCCGCCATGCCATGATAAAAATAGCACATGCAATTGAATTTGAGCTATCGTTCATAAAGCTATTTAAAAAAAAATGGTTTTTGGTTAGCATAAAGCTAGATTAAATAGTTTTTTGCGTTTAGTTCAAGCTCAATAATTGTTATTATGATGGCATGTTAACTTCAATAAAACAAAATATGAAGTACATACATTTATTATTGTGTATAATACATAAAATATACTAAATAATAGCTAACAGTTTTATAGTAACAGATCTATGAAACTATGATAGTTATAATAAAACAACGTACTTGTAAATAATATATTTATAGAAATATTAAAGTAGTATGTACGTTTAAAAACAGAATGTGGAGAATTTAAAAACCTGTTCAGATGACAACTCAAGCAACAGCAACCAAATGGATCTGTTGTGTAAAATGAGTTACGAAATATTTAATTTTTAATATTTGTTAGGATCTACTTTTAATTTTGCAACACACATTTATCTTTTATACAAATGTAAATTATGTTTAAAATTAAATTCACAAAATCACTGCACATCAAGTTTTACTGATCACATAGATAAATGTTTGTTGTACTGAATTAATGATACAAAAAGCAACCAAGATATATTATGTGTTAAGCTAATAATACAAAGAAAATACTGTATTTATTTATAATTATTTTACAAAAAAAGGCACAGTCAATCTATATTGGTAAAGAGCTAAATTTTGATAGAAAACAAGTGTTTTTCCATGAAATTGTATTATGTACAAATATCAAACAAATGTGTGCTTTAATGTTTCACGGGAATTTAGTCTGTCCATAACTAGTAGTAGATAAAGGTGTGTACGGCTCTCAGTCTTAAATAATTATAAGTTAAAAAAAACAATTGTTAGTTTAAATTATCAATAAACCTGGAAAAAACTGTAACAATGAGGTACTTGTTAAATTGATTTAAAAATTGTTAAATTTTTTTTCAATTGTTTAAACATAGGATTAGTAATATAATGATAAACTTTGCGAAATACATAATCCGAAACTATAAGTGAATAAATATAATAATTAAGCGCGAGACCTGTCATTACAACTGTTATGAGATTAAGCAGGAAATTGTATGTTTAACTTTAAAACTTGAAAAATCATCCGGTTTCAGTATAAAAATACTGTTAGTGCTATAATTATGTACTTGATCAATGTATCCTAAGATGTTTTAAAATACCAGTCTTCAAATACATATATTAATAATTATTATATATAGTTCAAATATAATATTTTTGGGAAAACTAAAAAATAAAAAAAAAGATTGGATTTGATACTGGTACAATTCCATGGAAAAGCCCTTAATAAGTTAGTACATTATTTGGTTGCTAATTGTTATCATTAAATATCACTTTATTAAAATTATATTTTTGTTGTTGATGATGGTAAGTATAAGAAAATTATACAAATGGTTGATATGCTGTGAGTTATGGATTTTTGTGTTTTAGTCAAAATTTACCTGGAACTTCATGTTCAAAGTCATGAACTTCAGTTAAATTCTGCTAAGAAAAAAGCAAAAACCAGAATTTTCTTTCTTTTTTACTTCATGATGAAGAAATGACTTGTTTTTGTTTTTAAAGGCTTGTACAATTAAGATCTGTTGAGGTGAAACTGAAATTTTCATAAAAATATCACGAGCTTTACATGTCAAATTAGATCACTATTTTCCACTTCAACTTTGAAATGTATGTGACATTCACTAGAATTTTATTTTCTTAATGAAGTTGAGAAATTCTAAAAGGACAACTGAATATCAGAGCTATTTACAATCACACATGGTGATACAGTTTGAGTTACGGATTTAGCATTTACCGATTAATTAATGGTAGGTGAATTTTGAAATCTAGCAATGCATTAATAAATGGTAAAGAAAAGGTTTGTAATGAAATTGGTTGTATTTAGTTAGTAACTCCTTCATGGTAATAGAAAATTTAAATTGCATAGTATATAAATTGTTATACTTTGCTATACTTCCTCAAGCTTTGTCACCAAAACATGTAAATATCTCTCTTATGGCCATGTAAAGTCTCATCTGCACAATCATTTTGGAAAATTTGAGACAGTCCTGAAATTCTACAAATGACAAGGTAGTTTTTAATGGTTTAAACTTGACACCTGTCTACGTAAACTGCGCTTTCTGTAAATGTAAGTACAAAAAGAAATTGAAAAAAAAGAGAATTATTTAAATTTTGTGCCACATCATTTCTAACTTGTTCAAATTTGCTGCATATATCATTTAAATTTATCAACCCGTGTTTCTATTTTTTGTTTTTTTTTTGTCAAGCTGTTTATTTATACTTCTTTTATATTTTGAAACTATGATTGAAAAATGCACTCTTGCTATTTTACCTGGTGTATTGTACATTACGATTTGCATTTAAATTTAATTTTACATTGACTTATGCTACCCTCCCAATGTTATAAAAGGTGAAACTAAACAACTAAAATATTTTGTAACATAACATTTAAGTTAAATATGATTTTAGTTGTTTTAGTAATGCAATTTATTGTAAATTATTTCAAATGGAAAGTACAACATAAACTTTCATAATACTGCTAAGTTATATTATATTCTTCCGTTTGTTTTGTACTTCTACTTTTGAGGCTATCTGTTGTCGAGATAGAGCCAAATCGATAGCAAAAATATACAGACAATCAGTGAGTTTTACAATAAAATCATATATATAATCATATCATAAAGATACTAGCAGTAGAAAATGAATATCATCAAAATCGAGTTGGCGTAGTTTACGTAGATGGATTCTGTTTGTGTACTTAAACAACACAGATTGCAGTTATATTTTGCATACAAGTAGATGTGGGTTTGGTAAGATTATGTGAGAGATGAAGTATGAAAGGATGTATAATCTTATTTATAATAGTTGATGTACTAATTAATATAAATACCATTTTTGCCAATTAACTACACTACAGTAACTTGCTTAATTATGATGTAACATGTCTGCAGCAACAAGTTTTGAAACCGTTTGTGTGATTTTGTACGCACACAAAATTTTGATATATCGTTCCGAAAATGTTGTTGTGTTTATTTATTGAATATCCATAAATTTTCGGTTTAGTCAGAAAAACAGTTACCTGTATCAGATTATTGATAGGCTAAATTAGCAAAAAAAAATAACATTACATAGTCATCACATAGTACATAATAGAATCAGTAGTGTAAAATTGGCTATTTGTCCCGCTTGTGTTTGATCAATAAATTGGGATATTGAGCTGAAAGTTTTCACTTTCTGACATCCCCATCTGTAATGATTTGTTTATTCTTTTATCAGGTTTGTTACGAGGTAAGGTAATTGATTGTATTGTATTTATAGTTTTCTAGTAATTATTTTAACATATGTTTTGCTATTTTTTTGCATACATCTGAAGATTTTCGATACTTATGTTGAAGAGATATCAACATTCTTGTGCGAAATGTAGAGGCGAGCAATAAATGTTGTAATACGTAACAAATAAAAGAAATAAATTATATAACTCAAACAAATCGCCTTGTCCAAACTGTTTCGTCTGCTCTGTGCAAATTGATCTAAACAATAATGTAGGTAGTTTACAAAAAAACCCCGCGACATCAACTGATTGTGTAAATTATAAATAATATTTAACACTTTTTGTATGTGTGTATTTTAGAGTATTTATTTTCTTTGTAAAGGATACTTTCAACAGCTGTCGTTTCAAGTTTTGTTAATTGCATTAAATCTATCTAGTATCAGTGCATGGATACGATAATTTTGTTATCTGATTTGCACACAAAAAAAAACAGTGTGTGTTTAGCCACATGTTAAATTTATTTCTTCATTTGACTTGTGAAATACCATTTACAAGTAATGTGTTCATGTTATAATTACCTTGTTAATGGTTGTTTTCCTTCTAGTTTTTTTTCAGTATGTAACCGTTGGAGTATTCGGAGTTGTAAAACACTTTATAATGCAAATTATCTGTGATAAAGAAATAAATAGTATGATCACAAAAAAGCTCTTTCTTTTCACCCAAAGCTCTATTCCGGCATATTTAATGATTTAGTTGATGAAAAGTACATTGTAGATTTTTAATTCGCGTCAAAAGGTATACAAAAGTATTCAAAATATTTTTATTCACGTTAATGATCGGATCTACTATGAGACGTAAGCGCGGTGTTGTAAATTCTCGATAATTCGGTGTTAATGAAAAAAATCTTAATACGGCGTGTGAACGGCGCTTTAAATTGAACCTTACCCCGACCGGTTTTGTTTAAGTGGCATGTAAGTGGACTGGATGGCATAATAAATGATGTATGTGACTTGTGTGTATTGGCTGCCTGTTTGCAGCGTGGCTGAGTTTTGTGTAAAACCTTTTCCAGTGGGCAACGGACCAAGATATTGCGAACGCGATCTCGGATGTCGGTGTCTCCGATTTTCAAGATGTGAAGTTCTTTGAGAACAGAGCCAATGGTCAGTCCAAAGGATTCTGCGTTATATCTCTCGGTTCAGATCAATCAGTCAGGATGGTGATGGAACGTCTTTCTAAGAAGGAGATACACGGGCAACATCCAGTAGTTACATTGCCTACTAAACAGGTAAGGTCAATGTTAACTGATACAAAATATGAGCATAATAAGTAGACACTAGATAGATAGTTTATGATTAGGTACTTATGAATTGCACAAATAGTGTCATGATCANTTATATCTCTCGGTTCAGATCAATCAGTCAGGATGGTGATGGAACGTCTTTCTAAGAAGGAGATACACGGGCAACATCCAGTAGTTACATTGCCTACTAAACAGGTAAGGTCAATGTTAACTGATACAAAATATGAGCATAATAAGTAGACACTAGATAGATAGTTTATGATTAGGTACTTATGAATTGCACAAATAGTTTCATGATCAATATACCTAGTAACCTTTCCTTAGTAATAGATTAGTTTCTGCAAATATATGGTTTCGGACAATACGTGAGTCGCGATGAGGTGTGAAACGTAATTAAAATGAAAACAAAAAAGCAATTTACATTTTTTTAATAATAAATAAATAAATAAATATTTTACTAACAATCACACCACGTTAACTGGTCCCGTGATAAGTTCGTAAAGAACTTGTGTTATAGGTACCAGATAACGGAAATAAATGTAAGATTTTTATTATATATAATGGATCTAAAGTGGTTAATAAACCTTTTCCAACATTAAAGCTTTCAATAATGTCCGAATCGTTTTCCCGGGGCTACTCATTGAAAATATCCAAAAAGAAAATTTTGAATCTTAAACCACCGCGACTTCGTAATGGTTATGGAGATTGGCTTCTGTTAATCGATTTGCAAATCATTTCGTAACATTGAGGAGTAAATAGCTTCGGCCATATGATAGCTATTGACTTCCACATGGTTTTGAGATGGTGGACAGTAGTATCTAAGTTAATATTTGTAATTTTTTTGTCCATCGGTAATTAATATAGGCTACCGATATTAATCAAAATAATATAATAGTTTTAGCAGCGTAGGAAATATATAGATGAATTAATTCGGTTCAGTGAAAGTAAGTAAACTTTGATAATGTCTACAGGCGTTGAATCAGTTTGAAAGTCAGTCAAAGACCAGGTCGACGCCTCCTGGTCCCAATAATCCTGGAATGAGAGGACCCCATCCAGGCGGGCCGCCTGGTCCTCATCCCGGAGGTACATATTGTAATCGTATACTAATACGTCTCGATAAAATATTCGAAACTTCAAAAGTAGAAACATATTATTATTCTAAAGTCGTCGTGGCCTAAAGGATAAGATGTCCGGTGTATTCGGAGCATTACTCTAGCGATACACCGGTGTTCGAATCCCGCAGGTGGGTCAATTTTCCTGATGAAATATGTACTTAACAAATGTTCACGATAGACTTCCACGGGGAAGGAATAACATCGTGTAATGAAAATCAAACTCGCAAAATTATAATTTGCGTAATCACTGGTGGTAGGACCTATTGTGAGTCCGCACGGGTTGGTACCACCACCTCGCCTATTTCTGCCGTGAAGCAGTAATGCGTTTCGGCTTGAAGCAGCGTGGAGCAGCTTTTTATAACTATACCTTAGACCTTAGAACTTATATCTCAAGGTGGGTGGCGCATTTACGCTGTAAATGTCGATGGGCTCCAGTAACCACTTAATACCAGGTGGGTTGTGAGCTCGTCCACCCATCTAAGCAATAATTTTTTTTTATTAACTAATGGGTAGTATATGGTAACTAAAGGGGTGATACCCCTGATCACAGCGCTTATAATGACGCCCAAATATGGTGCACTCGAAAACATAAAATCGTAAGAACCCGTTACTATATTCGCAGAATTTTTTGGTGGGGGACCGAACGGTCCAGGTGGGGGCGGACCTCGTATGATGCTCCCAGGTCCGGGTCCGCACCAGCTTCGTGGACCGCCGCCGCACCACATGGGCCCACACCAGGGCGGGCCGCATCCCATGCAACATCAGCCGCAGCCGCACCAGGCCCCGCCACACCGGCCCCCTATGCAGTTTGCGGGCCCCCCGCAGATGCAACGCGCGCCGGGCCCGCGTCCGCCGCCCCCCGACTGGGCTGCGCGAGCGCCGCATCCTATGTCTCAGCCCGCGCCTCATTATGGACCCCCCCATCACGGAATGCCGCATCAGATGCCACCACCTCATCCTGTATGTATATACTGCACACGTGATTACTATTAGGCATCCACATCATCCAAATTTATTATTTTGTATAGAATAAATGCAATAAATTTAGATGCCGTCAGATAGCCGACGAAATTCATGTAAGGAGGGCTTTAAAAATACTTTTTTGAATACTAACTGAGCATTGGTAATAATATGACGGCGTCGTCTCCTCAGGCCTTCTTAATGAACTCTTGATTGATACGAATTTTATCCTCACGTGTACAGCTCATCTGCTCTCGTATTACGTGATCGTCAAGAATTATTTTACGGCTCATATTGGGGGAACTCGCTCCTTGAATATTTGCTTTGAAAAAATTTCAGATTCTGGAACAGGGGGCTCGCAAATTGCTGATGTAAAATACAAGCCTATGATTATAAAATTTTCTTTAATAGTAATAATGAAACGTTATAATTAAAATAATGAATGTTCAGCAACCCGGCGCACAGGGCATGCCGCCTCCGCACCAGTTGCCGCCGCACCAGCCGCCGCGGGGACCGGCGCCCATGCCGCAGCATCCTGGTCAGTCATATATTAGTACAGATACTGACTTTTAGACTAGTGGTAGGACCTCTTGTGAGTCCGCACGGGTAGGTACCACCACCCTGCCTATTTCTGTCGTGAAGCAGACTTTGTTATTATACTGAGACCTCAGAACTCGTATCTCAAGGTGGTTGGCGACATTTACTTTGTAGATGTCTATGGGCTCCGGTAACCACTTAACATAAGGTGGGCTGTGAGATCGTCCACCTATCTATGCAATAAAAAATATATAATAATATACAGAAATGAATGCATTAATGTTCGTTTTTAATACGTACCATGAGTTCACAATCTGAATATCGCGAGATACAAGTCTCGATATCATTATAATAAGAATCTCGTTCTTTAAACTGGACGCGTCATTTGAGAAAAATTCGTCGTTTATATTAATTATTATTTCGTTTTTATTAAATTACAAATTTTAATTAAGTAATCAATTTTCATTAATGTTAAACAGTAATACCTGGAGCTCCAGCACCACACGTGAATCCTGCGTTCTTCAACCAGCAGCCACCGTCGCAGCCGCCGCCAATGCAGGCCCCGCAACCTGGACCACCCGGTAAGTTATAGCTTTTACATAAATAAATGATGGTATCTAAAAATCAAAATTTCCAGTATAACGCTCAAAACGATCATCTCATGTTTTGACATCACTATCATCGGTGATGACTCTCTTAATCAATTGCATATAAGAATACGAATCGAATATATTACGTAAATTTGGATGAAAACGTTAAGATCTTTACAGAGGTTAAATTCGACAGATACATCTTTGTGATCAGCGAACAAAAACAAGTTTCCTTATCAAGTAATATGATAATTGCCCAAATACTTACCTACCCTTAAATTCAAGATAGTTGCGATCAAGTAGTTAAAAGGATTAATCTTTTGTGTGAACAGGTCCAGGTGCTCCGTACGGTCATCCAGCCCATGGAGCACCACCTCCAGCACAAGGGCCTCCACCCGGGTCTAGACAACCGTACGGTCGGCCACCACAGGTAATTGACTTCATTGTTTATGAATTGAACTCTATATTCTGCAATCTATGAAACAAAATAAGGTCGTTATTTTCTATAATGTGCTACAGATTGGCTTAGTAGCATAAACATTAAAATAATGTTGTCGGGCCTCTTAGTATCACGTAATAATGTTACAGAGTTATCCTCCTCAAGCGGATCCGGCTCGTCCCCCGCACCACCCGGCACCCATGGTCCCACAGCACGCGGCCTCCCTGGCGCCCCCCATGCCGGTCATCAGCGAGGCCGAGTTCGAAGAAGTGATGAGCAGGAACCGCACCGTCTCCTCCAGTGCCATTGCTCGGGCTGTCAGTGACGCTGCCGCTGGCGAGTACGCCTCCGCCATCGAGACGCTCGTTACCGCCATATCACTCATTAAACAGAGCAAGGTATTTATCGTTGTATTTTTCTTAGCACTAGTGGCTCTACCACCATAGATTATACACTTAATATTTGAGAGACTACACTATAGATAGACAAATAATATTAAAGACAAACAATACTAATCTATTCTCAATTTGACCACAGACTTTAACGAATAACAAAAGTTTCGCAATTGACAATTTACAAAGAGTATACATATTTTTTAAATGTATGTGTTGTGTCAAATACACGGTGGTGTGTGTAATGTTTATTGTATATGTATTTAATGTATTTTTAATGCATAATTTAAAAAAAAATCTCTTTCTCCTCTCTCTATATTTTCTATAAGTGTGTGAAATTTCATACTCCTCCGTCCGGGCAATTTTCGTAAAAAGGGATACAAAGTTTTTGCTTCACGTATTAATATATAGATTATGCATAAAGGAAAATGAAATGAATGTTTCAGGTGGCACAAGACGACCGCTGCAAGATTCTGATCTCGTCGCTGCAGGACACGCTGCACGGCGTCGAGACGAAGTCTTACAGCAGCGGCGAGCGGTCCCGCCGCTCCCGCTCCCGCGAGCGCGAGCCGCGACACCACCGCGCCCCGCGCCGCCGCGACCGCTCCTCCAGTCGCTACCGGGACCGCAGCCGCGACCGAGAGGATAGGGACAGGTACGCGCCGTTAGTTATATCGAACGTTTCTTGTATTATAATAATGGCAGTCTTGCTCTTTAAACCGGAATATACCAGATATTGTCGGGATACTGATACGCTGCCGAAGACGGTCACCATACTCTATCTCCTAATAATGATAACTGCAACTGTAAGCTTAACTTAATTGGATGTCTTGATTTTCCCTTACCACAGACTAACTAATATAAACATTAAAACTTTTAATGGAAAATAAAAAAAATACAGTCAAAACCGTTTACTGCGACATCGTTTAATACAACATGCCGGTTATAATAACCAAGAACAAAGGTCCCGGCTGAATGCCATATGACCGCCTTATTAAAAATATTGCTTTCTACGACATTGGTAATAACGACATACCTCATAAAACGACCACATTTAACTAATATTTCGGAGAATTAGATCTGTTAGAACGACCGGCTANGAATGCCATATGACCGCCTTATTAAAAATATTGCTTTCTACGACATTGGTAATAACGACATACCTCATAAAACGACCACATTTAACTAATATTTCGGAGAATTAGATCTGTTAGAACGACCGGCTAAGCTGTATTGTAAACAATTTGAATAGGTATCCACATTTGTCTTCAATGGCTTTTAAAATCAGGAAAGAAAACAATAAGATTTAGTTTAGTGTAGGGTCTTTTCTAATTCTTCGAAACAAAACACGTGCATGCGGTAGTCAAAGCCCACTTCTTCATATCTCTTCAGTTAGTTTGTTACTTATCTATACACAAGACGCACCAAAACTTTGTGGAGTTATTCGTGAAACTTTCAAAATCTCGCAAAGAAAAAGAAAACAAATTAATATTGAAGAAAAATCGCGTATTATGTAAATATATTTTTCCAATAATTCCCTATCGATTTGTTTGTACTTGTACGATACACATTAAACATCACCGGTTGTTACGACTATCGGTTTTTACGACTGAATATGAGCAGTCCCTTCGATGTCGTTATAACAGATTTTGACTGTATTTACAAACACATGTGCGTATGTTCGTAAATTTATATAAAGTAGTACTTTTATCGAGAATTAAAATGATTTTTTAACGAATTCCGTGTTTTAAAAAAATGCTTTACAATGAGGCCAAAACCGGGGAACCCGTAAAGTTGAATGCGAGCAATTTATTGCAGGTACAGGGAACGGTCGAGAGATCGCGACCGCGAACGTGAACGTGACGCGTAAGTGCCTTGATTTAAATTGAAAATAACACCAACCTGAAATGGTAAACGTAATGAGTGGTCAGTTTTATATTTATTTGAGTGTGCTATGTACTAATATTGAATTTATATATATCTCATTATTGACGTTTCGAAAACTAATCTTTACCGAATTTGATTGATTAATCATCACTAGTTTATTTTAAAGCTCACGTTTCCATTACGTTTACTGTAATTTAGAACAAGGCAGTTATGTCATCACTACACACCTAACTCGATTACTTATGTGTAAACAGATGGTAAGTGAAAATCAATGTTGTTTTATTTCAGGTATTACAGGGATTACCGTGAGAGGGAGCGCGAGAGGTCTCGCTCGAGGGATCGCGATCGTGCTGATCATTACAACAGGGGACACAGTCGTGAGGAGAGGTGTGGTTTTGTTCTATGTAAAAATTCACCATCTGTATTTGGGTCTAATACAATTTGCTTTATGTACGGTAGGCAGACAGAAATCTTTTTCTTTCTGTGTTTCTATTTTAATGCATATATTTTGAAGCTCCGTCTCGAAAAAAAAAACCAAAATATTATACACCATTCTTAGCTTTTATAATTTGCTTTTGCTTGTTTTAGTCGATAATTTGCAAGATTTTATTTTATTTACGAGAAGCAGACACTGATCAACGCCGTAACAAATTGCGCAATACTCGATTAGTTCAGTTTTTACACTTACAACAGAGCTCTCAACCATCAAAAATTCATTGAACCTATTTATTTTTTATTTCAGTTAGAAGTTAGTTAATTTAAGGAGATCAATAATTAATATCTCAAAGCTTGACTGACCCGTTTGGTGATATCAGTTTACAGCAGAGAGAGTGAATTTTCGTTCTGTAAAAATTCAAATTATGTTTAAGTTTGTTTTTTTGCTGGGAACAGGGCACGTAAATCTCCAGCTGAAGCGACAGCAGAGGGAACCACAGCTGAGGCCGGGTCGAAGAGCCGCAGCACTGGAGCGCCGTACTACGACGAGCGGTACAGGGAGAGACGCGACAGAGACCCGCCGCCCGCGGACCGAGATCGCGACCGAGACCATCGCAGGGACGCTAGACACTAGACACTAAAAGAACCATTGAGTGAACTACTCAATATCGCCACAACAGCTGACCAATTAGGGCATCCAAGATTTTTTGCTATCGGGCCGGCGTCACGTTGAAGTGGAATTAAATTGACACTTGACAGTTCTGACAGATGTTTGCGCGGAAAAGGGATTTACAAAAATGGCGCGAAAGTTTCTGATTCTAAATTCAAACAAACGATTGATTTAATTTAAAATAATTCGTTTGAGCAACGTTCATGCGAATCAAAATTCATTGACTGCGCGGTTATATGTGGTGACACCGACATCGTTCCGTCAGCCTAGTCTAATCAAGTGACTTTTTGGTGTAAACTGATATATTGTGTGTTGCGTCCGGAGTGACGACCGCGTGCGTGAACTACTGATACTGCCACGAAAATAGCTTCAAATTGTTGATCAAAAGATGGTGGATCGAGTTGATCTGCTGCTAGGGCGGTTTAGTGTAATCGAGAGCCTGATTCGACAGATTAGATATTCATTATTTTCAACTTCATATTAAACATACATCTCAAATTGAAATCGGTCTCATACATGAAACATTAAATAGTGATGGTAAAAATGATATCCATTCACACTGATGATGAGAATAATGTTATGTTAATTTAGATGACAAAATAGTTTATTACAAATTAGTAAGTATTATCCCGGAATGCCCATTTGTCTCACATATATCGTTTGTTTTACGAAAATTGGTTACACTCTTGGTACAAATCACTGTACTTATTACAGTCAAGTGTGACTGTAGAAAATTAACGTAAGACCTATCCAACCCCGACAAGTCGTTTTTAAACATCTAATAATGTACTGTATTCATTCACGCATGGTATATTTATAAGGTTAAAAAAGGATGATAAACTTTATATTTAAAACAGAGAAACATTTTATCAGAACACGACCAATAGCAAATTATCCAAAATTAGAAAAGTGCGCTAGTAATGAAAATTTTATTGAAAATAGATCAAAAATATCCTAGTATTATCTTTAATACTTTTGATACAATTGATAAAGATTAAAATATAAATAGTTTTTATTTCAAATAAACATTTTACACAATTATATCGATAAAAGCAGTTTTCAATCTAAAGCCATGAAACATCTGAAAATTGAAGATTGTGACTGATTTTATAATTTTTAGTATCAATATCGCTATCGTTGATTGTTAATGGATTGAATTAGTCCAACAAGAACAATAAACCAAATATATTTAAAATTCAATTTTGCTGTTTGTCACAACATTCCATGGTCTAAATGTTTGCGAATTGTTTTAAACTTTCATTCGTGGTTTTTTTTTGTATTTTCCTATTTTGTAGTAGTCTAAACGTAAGTATTAGGTTAAGTTCAAACAATTTATGGATTGTTCCATACAAACTAGACGTGACCGTAAATTAAGATGTAATTTACAATAAAATAAATTTATTTCAAAACATTTTCATTATTTATTGAATTAATATATAAGTTCCCAAACTGTAAAAGTACCTACTGTCTGCTGTTTCTTTTGCATTCGTGTTTTGTGTGCACTGTTTCTTATTGTAGAAAGAAAGATTTTGGGCCTTTGAAAGGACGTCAAGTGTGAAATTTTTGGCCATCGGCACACTTCGAACTGGTCAAATTTCCAAGCAACGAATTTATTAGATATATTATACCCTCGTAGGTCTTGTGTATGTCAGAATCAGTCTGCTTAGTGCGAGTTTTTTAACGTTCTCGATAGCGTAAAAGTTAGCTCATTTGTATGGAATAGGATCGTTTGCCTACGTTTGCCGTTATAGGCTTTGTTCCAACTGCATACAAAACTGGGTTCACTTTTACGCTATCGAGATCGTTAAAAAACTCGCAGTAAGCACACAGAACGTGTCCTCGACGGCTTTGGCATGTCGAATTGACATTGGCAAGATACATAAACTTTAATATGAAAAGTAAGTTTGTAGGGATCTAGTATAACTAAATGCAGTCGCTTCGGTCGTGTTTGAGAAATTTAACAGTCACAGACAGTCGCAAAGGGACCATATGGGCTAAATCCAAATTTTAAAGTGATTATGAAGTGCTATTACTACTATTCGGGAGTTTAATATCTACATTTTATTAAATAAGTAATCCTTTAGTACCTACTTGGTTTCAATTAGTTACGTTACTGGAATGTGTAGCATACATTTTTAGTGAAAAGTTTCGAAGATTCATTGATTTTTTTGAATATAGTAATAATTAAATGGTCAGGGATCTAATCGAAATACTGCCTATCTGTCACGCACGTAGACGCAATACATGAATATAGACTGATGTTTCTATTAGAGATTCTGGTATCATCTACCTTTTACTTACGCAGATAGGACACCGTTGATAACACTTCTACTTAGCAAAGAATTGTTTAATAATTATTGTTTAAAATAAGGCATTAATTACCTAGTCTATACGTGTAATGATTGTTATCCTGTACCAATTTTCAGCCCACTAAGTTTCTCGCCGTATCTTCTCAGTGGGTCGCGTTTCCGATCCGGTGGTAGATTCTGCGAAGCACTGCTCTTGCTAGGGTTCGTGTTAGCAACGTCATCAGGGTTGAGCCCCGTGAGCTCACCTACTAGTTAAGGCGACGCTGATATAGCCTCTCAAGCCTATCAGCTTAGATAGGAAAAAAAAACAATTTTCCGTTAATACCATATATAATCAAAATATTTTTTCATATTAATATCGTTTTATAAAAACAGATGTGAAATGAAAAGCGAGGTTTTCTTTTCAGAACTTAATGTTCTGGTTTCTGTTCAGTTGTCCGTGATAGAACAGAGAAATACGCGAAGTCGATATTATTGCAATATTTTATAAGACTTGTAACGAAGTGAAGCTGAAAGTTTTTAGAATATCATAAAACTTTACAAAGCGGCATCTGTTTATTCATTTATTTTTTTCACAATAATTCCCTACAGAATTTAAGCATCTCGCACTCGACCTTGGAGAGAGGAAGAAAGTGAGCTAGGTTGTTTCTCTTATGCACATTCTGTTTACGGGCGTCGGCCACTAGTTATTATTATTATGGCTTATTATTAGTTTCTCATTGCTCCTGTAAATGGCAGTAACATACTATCACATATTTTATTTTTAAAGATGTATTTAAAAAAGACGTTATTTTTCTGAAGAAGGAATCTTTTCTCTTATACATAGCATCACATATTACAAGATAAATTTGATTTAAGGATGAAAAATGAAGAATGAAGTATGCATGCGCACAAATTATTTTTTGCATTTGTTCTAAAGTTTAATGATATGTATCGATAATAACAATAAATTACTTACAACGGCCCTTACTAATCGCTTTTGCCAGAATTCTCTGACAAAACGTAAGTAAAGAACAAAAAATATTACATTTTAAAAAACAAAAATAAAATATGTGTGGTGTCGTGGGACACCGGATAGGAACGAAGTTCCATATAAAAAAAAAAAAAGAATTACGAGAAAAAAACCGCGCGGTGAAATATCGCTGTGCTGAAAACAAGGCCTTATTCCACGGACTTTTTCTTACGGTTTTTACTATCATATTTTTTTCAGTTCGGTCGCGCAGCAAAATCCCTATCTTCTCCAAGCCTGCCGTAAGGAACTTCGTTCCAAAAATAAAACACTAGAAAATGGAACAAAGACATTCTATTCATTTCGTAGTTCTTATGAATCGAAAAGATGGAGCTGTTATTAAACACGACTAAGAAACGATCTAATGAACTGGGTAGCGGAATCTTTCGACCCGGATATCTTTAATTATAGCACAGCTTAATTATTTACCATAATTAATACGATACTCTATGCACATTAATCCACATTAGTGGACTTAATACCTAACGCATTCTAATTAGTCAACTAAATATGCATTGGTTATCACTTTATTTTCTTTTTAAAATGATAACGTCCTATTGTGAGAGATCTATAATTTCCAAGATATTAATAAATTTTTAATTTATTTTTTACTAGCGACCCGCCCTCACTTCGGTTAGGGAACTGTAATGGTGATTGATTATGAAAATAAAATGGCAAATTTTTATCCTACTTACTTGACACTTATCGTTTTATTTTGATTAATTCACACTATATCTTTATAAATTACAGCCTTTGTTTTTCTGATGTGTAAGCTATATTATTGTAAGGTTTCATCAAAATCTATCCAGTAGTTTTTGCGTGAAAGAGTAACAAACATGCATACATACGTTCTTACAAACTTTCGCGTTTATAATATTAGTAGGAATCTTTAGCAGTGCCAAAAATGTTTTATAACGCCACCCCATTCATGGGTGTCGTGAAAAGCGACTAAGGTTTTCACCGCAGAAAGCGTAGTATGGTCATCTGAGTATTATACCAGCTTGCTACGATCACCAATCGGTATTTACTTTTTTTTTTTTTTTTTCCACCGGAGAAAATCGCCGGATGCCCACCCGCGCGGCAGGAGTTTTTAGTGAACCTCACTAAAAACTCCTGCCGCTCACAACCGGCACCCTACCTCGGACCGGGCCGGAGCCCAGTCGGGGCTATTGAAACGGCGGGACAGGGTTGACGCAGAGCACATTACATCCATCCCACCGTCCCACGGACGCCGGACCGGCGGCCGCCAGCGACACGACCACCGGTTCCCTCGTTTAGCGGGCCGAGAGCCCGCTTTGACGGCGCCGCGTTACACCTTCCCCCAGAGCGGTCGGGGGAAGGCGGTCCACCATCACCCGGCTTCCTATTGCGGGTGAACGTGCAAAGCACGCCACCCCACGTCTGGGTCTCTCCCGGACACGGCGCTGCACCTCCCAAGCGGGGCAGACAGCGAGCGTATGCTCCGCTGTGTCCAGGTCGTGTCCACAATGGTGACACCTCGTCGTCGGCTCAGCCCCTATCCGGCGCAGGTACTTCCCGAAGCATCCGTGCCCGGTCAGCACCTGCACCAGACGAAAGGTGAGACGTCCTTTGCCACGATTCACCCAGTCATCAAAGACCGGGTAAACCGCCTCGACGGTCCGTAGCCCCCACGTGGGGTTGGCCAATCGCCTCGACCACGACTCGAGCACGGACCGCCGAGAATGGGCCTTCCGCGCCCGCAGCTCACTTTCGGGGAGACGCGCCACGCCCCGAGCACGAAGCTCGCTGCGCCACCGATAGTCGGCAGCGAGCGACTCCGCCTCCAGCTCCCATGGCGGCGTCCCCGCCAAAACACACGCCGCCTCGAAGGAGACGGTGCGATATCCGCGGATGACCCTGATGGCAACGGTGCGCTGCGGCCGGCGCAGGAACTGAGCCATAGTGGCCCGGTTGCGCGACTCAGCCCACACAGGTGCACCGTACAGGGCCATCGATCGCACCACCCCCGCGTAGAGGCGGCGCACAACCTGATCCGGTCTCCCAATATTCGGGAGCAGCCGGCTCAAAGAACCGGCCGTCCCCATCAATCGGGGGACCAGCTCCGCAAAGTGAGCACGAAAAGCCCACCGGCTGTCCAACACGAGGCCGAGGTACTTCAACTGCACCCCGACCCCTATCCGGACGCCTCCAACCACGATGTGGGTGTCAACGGGTGGCGCCCTCCGCGGCCCGTGAATCCACAGAGCCTTGGATTTACTGAGCGCCACGTCGAGACCCAGCCTCCTTATCCTTCCGACGACGAGGGCCACTCCCGCTGTGGCGAGACGGGCAGACTCCCTATAATCATCCCCCCGGGCCACGACCAACGTGTCGTCCGCGTAACAAATAACGCGGAGGCCCGGGAGGAGATCGGTATTTACTGGTGATAAGGCGTTTTGTATACTTGGACGGGTATACTTACCCACTGATAATATAATTGGTATCGTGGTACTCCACGACACGGTAAACTGCCGTGAACCTGTCGTACGTTTCAGTCAGAGGAGTGGAACAGTTATAAATATAAATTAATTGATATAATTCCTCATGTCTAAAAGTAAGATTTTCTATTGCTTAGATGGTTGGAGAAGCCCATGATTTGCCTGATTTGAAGTGGTTATCGGAGCCCATAGACATCAACAACGTAAACACCGCCACCATCTTTAAAATATGAGTTATAAGTCTCCGATTCGTAGTACAACATTTGCTCCACCCATTTAACGGATTACTGTTTCGCTGCAGAAATAAGCGGGATAGTGTTACATACCCGTGCGATCTCACAAATACTTTTTTTATTTAAAACTAAAGACGAGTGTCACTTAAATTTATGATGTTGAACCTTCAATTGCAGCAAAATAATTGTGTTCCTCAAACTGAGACCGGTAATTGTTTCGTGATCGAAGTAGATAAGTCGGTGGTACAAAACAGACTGGGTGGTTACCCTGGGTGGACACAATGGGGTAACAAGGAAACTTAAAAGTACGCTACGTCATACAATTACCGCGAAAGCATTACAAATACTTTCTGTTGTATCTTTTGTAGATTATTATGTAAGTTATGATGTAACAGATCGTTT